GGATCGTTCCATGTCAGGACTGTTGCTGGATCGTGTGTGCGTTTGTCAAAATATGTCGACACTCTGCACACGCCTCAGAGGTGTGAGAGTTGTAAGGGGCCTCCCAGAGGTCAAGTAGGCATTAGACTGGCTGAACAAAGCAGTTTACTCAACAACACCACTACAAGTCTCCCCAGAGAGACTTTCTTAAATACCTCGAGGAGGGGTTTGAGCGAGTGTGGTTGTGCTTCCAAAAAAATAATCATAGAGAATGCAACAGCTGCCTGGGCCCGGACAGATGGAATGGGAGCTGGAATGGGTGGGTGTGGGTCATTCAGTTGAGGGAGGGGTAAAGTTGCCTACACGCCACACAAATAGTGCACACTCCACAGCGTCGCCCTTCTCTGATTAAAAGAGCAGTCACATAGAAGCTTAATCTCATAATGGCTCCCCCGCAGCTGACTTGGACACATCGCTTCTGAACCAGCTGTTGCAGGTCAAGAGAACCCGAACTACGCACATGTGTTTACATCCCTGCATAGCTGTGGACTTCCCACATTCACGGCGTGACAGACATTCCTTGCTGAGGGATGTGTGGGAATGGCAGGAATTCCTCGAGGCTGAGGGAGTGGACAGGAATAGGGTGTCCATGATCCGGACCCCTGACCTACATCCTGATCAACAATGCTCTAAGAACCCTGGTTAGAAGAAGAAAAAGGTACCGTAATATGTACATATAATACTATCTGACAGCATCTAAATGCTTATTTTACTAACGAATAGTACAATTTTTTCTAGTCTGAAATGCTGACATGATTTTTTAATTATTCTCTTTTGCGTGAAAATATTTTGAGATTCCCATCATAGTAAATGTTATTTCGGAGACCTTACCTTGCCCCTAATGTGAAAAACATTGCACAAAAAGAAAATCAAATATACTAAATGTTACTATTTTATCAAGTGTATCCAGCTGTCGAGGAAAACTAACATTCGTTGAAAACACTGCTGGCAATTCCGGACTCACAAAGGGGCTTTTATAAATACATTGATGGCTAATTACATATTACACTCATGTTCTGAGTCATCATCCTCAAGTAGTTGATGAATATTGAAGAAATTGAAATTAAGAGGCTTTGCTTTGCCCTTGAATTTCAGTGTCTAACTAGTATTGTAAGTATGATAACAAATAAATACAGTGAGTAATTCAGACGATAACTGCAGAGCGTCCGGGTAGGGGGTCGCACCTGGGTAGAGCATGCAGGAGGCAGGACGTAACATTCCGCTATGGATATTGCAATTATTTGTTTACAGCACATCTTACACTATACTGAGATGTTTATATGTTATTATTCAGTTCTGCATGTGTCATCAAGATGAATCCTCCCAAATTCTCGTTTTTACAAGGGGGCCTGGCAGGAGAAACTCCAAAACAACTGAATCAGACATCCTCTGGACAATGTCATGAAATTATCTGGAGTTTGATGCATGTCTGAAAGTAGCTTCAGATTTTTGGATCTTGGTGTTTATGGTCAGACTCTAATTTCCTCCTAGCTCTGTTTAGCATCTTAGCTTATGGACTTGTTACTAGTATAGGTCGTATGATAGTTAGCTGGAAAAGCTAACATTTGTGTCTGTCATTCACAGTTTCTAAGCTATGACTGGAGAATCACTCATTGAGTTACATGTTGTTGTGTTACTGAATACAAAGAATCATGGAGCTCTTATTTGCATATTTGTCTGCACCACTACATTTAATTAAAACGCTATAATCCCACAACACATTAATTACCATTAAGTAAAAGATGCAGGCATCACTTTTTCTGTATTTGAGATACACTGTACTGAGGACACACTGCTGTTCCCTGGAGAACAACAACACATTGTTCATCAGGGTCTTATTGGGTTTCCCAATATATTTTTCTCTCTTCTCAACAACTGACTTCATTGTTTGACACAGTACATCTCCTTCTTTTACTTTTCAGTGATAATATAATTTCCATTTTTGTGACTTGTGTTTTTGCTCATCTCTTCCTGTGTGGTGAACTGACATTACCCAGCTTTTCTCCTGATTGGGAGATACAATTTGCGAGCTCTGATTGGCTGCTTGGTGTTACCCTACTGCACAACACAGAAACAAGAAGGGCTGATCTGATTGGCTGTTGGGATCAGACACAGCTGTGTTACTTCCACAATGTACCTACTGTGGGTACAGCTGGTACTGGTCATGCCCCTGTACACACAGACAAGTGGGTAACAACACAAGTCATGAGCACCTCTATCTTTTTTCTCTTAAACTAACATTGAAAGAAAAAAGGAATCATGGGATCTTAAATCTAACTTGAATATGACTCATCCAGCAGCCACATATGCTCATGGCCTTTTTTTTAACAAAGGAAAATAATCATAGTTTGGTCCCAGGAATGTGTTGCACTTGTAGTTTTGCTTTGTTTTCAACCTCTGTCCAGTTCTTACAAAGCCTGCATCATGAGGTTTAAAGTCTGGGGACTGTGCTGCTCTTCCATCTTATGAATCTTCCATCGTGTGGGATGAACCGCTGACCAACCAGTCTATCTACTTTTGTTACTTGCCTTTTCCTCACCACTCTAAAAGCAATACACACCACTACTTCCTGCAGTACAATGCTGACCTACACATGCATGAGAGGTCGTACCAAACCCCCTCATCTTTGTACAGCTGAGTCAAAACTTAGGGCACCTTTTGGATTTGATTGCACTCATTTTCAAGGCATGTCCATTGCTGCATGAAAGCTGTAAATTAACACAATTTCTAAACCATAAAAAACTTGTTTTTAATTAAGATTCTTTAGTGTTTGGTGACATAATCTTTGTTTTGTTTTTCCGTGAGAAGTTTACTGCTTACCTTTGCACTATTAAAGGTTGTTTACAAGACCTTAGCTGCTGAAATGTCAATAAAAACTGGAGAAATTGGTCTGTTGTAAAACTTTTGACTGGTAGTGTAGTTAACAAGAGAACACAGGCAATTACAGGCTATTGTTGAGTCTAATGATAGAGCGATACGTTCCCATATTTTTAGCTGTCATTTGTGCCAATTCACTACAATGTGGGACATCTCTCCAATAGCAGCTCTGTCAGGCAGAGGGAGGCAAGAATCACTGTATATTTTACAAACGCTCCTGATCCACCTCAACACCACACGACCAATGTCTGAGGCCAGTCGATTTTTCTTTTTTATTCAAGAGATTAAATGTGCACTGAAAGATAAAATTTTAAAGAGGTCCTTCTGCAGCACTTATTTCCCGCTGCATTAAAAGTCAGGTCTTGTTGAACAGTTACAGACATCAAGCTGACAGAGTAATTGATTTCACAGTGCAACCTGGGGTGTTATTTTCCTCTCAACTCAGACTCTCTGTGTCCTTTCATTCTCCTCCGTTTGTCCCCAAATCTGAAATTTGGCCTGAGAGACAGAGAGAAAGAAAGAGCACCACCTTCCTTTATCTCTGCCTCTTTCTGTTTTCTCCATCCGTCCAGACCTCTAATAGCAGGGTAGGCTAACTGAGCGAGAAACGGGCCAAGGTTACCCCAGCGACCCAACAGCAGGGGAGGAGGGAAGAAAGAGGAGAGAAAAAAAGACAAGAGGGAGAAAAGGTTGCTTGTTATTGGTTCCAAGAGTTCATTCGTCCGGGTCTTTTAACACCACCTGATCTCATTCTGACAAAGCGTGACAAGGCAGAGAAAGTCAAGTCAAATTTGGAAGTTCATGTATATGATTCTAATCTATTTTATGAAAGAGAGAGTCCATTTTTTGACAAAAATTGTCTGCAATGCACAGTGAGCTGTTTTTTTCATTTATTGACTTCTGCTGCAGTTCACTGTTCACAGTATAATGTAGCTCTGTCTGCTGCAACCCTTTCTCTGCTTCAGCTCCTCCAATTTGCACAAATACGCCATCTGGAGGTGACGCCAACATTGAATTTCAGCATGCAGAATGATTACTGAAGATTAACACAAATTTAACTAGCAGGCAGACAGAGAGAGAAAAATAAGTAGACAGACAGAACAGGAAACGGACAATCACACAACATTCCCTCGGTGCAAAGCACTCTTCGGCACATCTGTCAAGGTCCACAGGCATTAATGTTATTACATAACAAGCACTGCCCCCACCTCCCCTAGCAACCCACTCCTCAGCTGCCCAGTCAGACCAGTGGATGTGGATGTCAGGCCAAGGCCTAATCCCCCACATCCCCACCTTGAAACCAGAAAGTGATAACTGTCAAGCGCCAGAAAGCTTCAGAGAAACATCTCCCTGACAGCTTTACATAGACCGGCAACACAGCAACAAATAAGCCAAGTATTGCCTATATGACTGCATTCATTTTGTTTCCATTGCCTTTTTCTGCGGGCGCTGGACTAGTCTCCATCAAGCCCTGAGGCTTTGGAACAACCTTCCAACTCGCTGTCCTCCTTTATATCTATGCTTAAAGAGGGTTTTGATTTTTCAAGCCAATACTGCAAATGCTTTTTGACTAAAGATATTGAAAGTAAAAAAATCGCAAGTCTCTCTTTTTCAGCATAGTCCATGAGACATTAAAACGTCCCACTGAAGCTCAGGGGAGTAATAATCTTAAATATCAAAGTAGTACTAGGTCTCTTCAAAATGTCACATTAAAGGAAGACAGCATCGACTAACAAATATCAAACCATTATGGACAGAGGACAGGAGTAGAAAGAAGAACAAGGAATGAAAGCAACAGACACTGTCCATCTCAACTTATGATGGAGAGGCTCCTGTCGCTACAGAGATGGTGGCTAGGGATTGGTAGCCAATCATGGCGGGGGGGGGCGAAAAAGGCGAATAGGAGTACAGAGATGGAAAGGAGGAGGGAGTCGGGCAGATATAATGGGGGGAAATAATGGTGACAATGACCTGTCTTTATCACCGGGAACACTGAAATATTTATCACTTGTGTGCATATGTGTGTGTGCATGTGGAAAAACAGCAGCACAACTGTCAGTGTGTATGTGTACAGTTAGTTTTACCTGCAATCTGACTCGATACATCTCCTTTGGGCTCTTTTGGGAGGGATCCATCTGTAGGCACACACAAAAGAAGATAAAATATTAACATCGGGGGAAAATTTTGATTGATCTTGATTTTCTGAATTAGAACCTGTCCAGGTTATACCCTGCCTCTCGCCCAATCCAGTTCCCCCCCATTACCTTCAATGTATAAGCAGTTGGAGGGGAGGAAGGGATGGATCGTTATCTTTAAGCTTCAAGAAGTTGCATTTTGAGCTAGCAGCTAACATTAGCTTATTATCATGCACACAGTGACATTTGCAGTGACACTAAAAAAAAGTTGTCTGTTAGTTAGCAGGATTGCAAAGAAACTACCCAGAAGATTGCAACACTTGGTGCAAGGATGACGTATAAGTCAGGAACAAACCCATTTACTTTTGGTATGGGTCTGGATCAGGGGAATTCCTTTCCACTTTCATTAACATTGTGAGATAGGGTGTTTTTTTTAAACTTTCATTGATTTCTCAGAGAGTAACTTTTGGATCTCAATCTCGAAAACAATCTGTCATATTTAGGAGAATAGTTTAAATGAATGTTTGCAATTTAGTGCAGATCCAGATCTAGTGAATTAAAATGTGGGTTCTTAGGGGGGCAGTTGGGTCTTGGCAAAGTTATGTACTCTTCTGAGTGTCATTCTAATTTTCAATGTGTTTGGTCATAAAACTAAATTAGACAGTTTTTCTAAATGTTGGCTCGATACTGGCAAAAAGTGCAGAGATCATCAAAGATGATCCTTAGGGAGACATGAACCATCTAAACCAAATTTCATGGCAAACCAGCTGAGAGTGGTTGAGACATTAGACTTAAAAATGAAGGAAAAACATTGCTATTTGCGCTAGTGTGGCTAAAAAAGACCATGAGACTTAAGACTTATAGTAACAACCAAGGGAAGATGGTGCTGTTGGTCCAGTACAAGCAAGGCTGAGGCTTTCAGAGTAAGGTTTTTACATTAAATAAAGCCTGATGGAAAACTCCAACATTGGCTTGATCAGTAAAGCATAAAACCAAACCAAAATTGTCTCACTCACAGGAAAAACTTTGGTTTATGACAAACAGTTTAAAGTTGAAGGAATCTGAGTGCAACTAATAAAAGAAAAGGCTACCACTCATCTAAACTGTGTTCTGGTCTGCTTACACTGGACTGGTGCATCCAGGAGTCACTTTCTCATCACAATATAACTCATGACCCTGGCCCACTGGTCTCTCAGCCAATACTACAATTGGCCTATTGATCCAGCCTATAGCCAGTGTGTGAACGAAGCTGCTGCTGTGACTAAGGGTAAGATGCAGTCAGTGTCATGTGCTGTCAACATGTAAACAGGCAGGATGCTCTACTGGTTGACTCAGTGACACATGTTCCCTCTGTTACAGTCTATGGTTCTGACTCAGGCTAACTCCTTCCTGTTTTAGCTCAGAGAGTTCTGCATTAAACAGACAGCAGCTGGTGGTTGCACTGAATACATGATCTGTACTGTAGATCGAAAATAGGTACTTATTATATCTTATTTTTATATATTTAGATCTATGCTGCATGTACATTTGCTCCGTTCTACAATGTAGACCTCCATAAGCTAAAGAGCACAGAAAAGAAACATGCAAAAACACTCTGATAATGATAAGGCTCTGTTATGACACATTTCATGGTTAAATGGAATTACCACACTACTTCATTTACTGTGAAATTCCTATGAATCAGGATTTCAATCAAAGTCTGTGTTATGAAATTGTGGATCGTTATTACAGTCTGGTGTTAGTCCACATAACAATATACGTTGTTTTATTGATACAAAACCTATTGATTCATACGCTCCATCATTTATTTCCACATAGTGTGTCACAAATCTTTATGGCAGGAAATTTACATGAGGGAACCACAATCAAATATGGAGGAGAACGAATGTGACTTAGAACAGCCACGATGAAATAAGGAGACACTGCCGTCCAATGGACATGGTTTAAGTATGAAAAGTCTTGACACAGTATAAACACATTTCACTATTCAACAGACTCTAACACCACAAACCTATTTTACCAGTTATACAAGATTCATGTCAAACAGTAGGCTACATAGAGAGCCTATGGATGAGAGTCTCTAAAGTAAAGTTGTGTGCTAAAACTCATAAGAAAACTTTAAAAAGGTATGGGTAACAATATAAATTTCTGTGTAGACATTAAAATGATATATTTTGGTCATATTGCACAGCTCTATCACATTACCACCATTACTGTACTAGGTTGTAAACAATAGCTAAGAGTAATAGCAGTGAAAGCTCAGAGTTTCAATGAATAGGTTGAGAAGCTACAAGAGTGAAGTTTCAGTTAAAGTAACAGTGCTCCTCAGTTTTCAGTTAAAGCTGTATTACTCTTGTTCACATGCTTTCAGTTGCAAACACACAGGACAGTGATCATTCAACATACGCCATGTTCACATCATACCACAGTAATAGATGGGAAAGATTCCCACTGCTTGCATGAGTGCTGAGTTGGTTCTATGAGGATTAAAATACTCAAGCTGTGGTTACGCTTGACGGATTGGTAACTGTGTGCGCCAACTGTGATGTCGACAAGGCAACTCTTCCTACTTGTGCCTGAGGCGTGGTGACTCAATGAAGTCTTCTCCTAAACGATTGGTGTTGCCGCTGAGAAAAATACACCACCAGGAAAAAGCTTAAGGAGGAAACACAAACAAAACAGTTTGGACACCAGCTCGTTTCCTCCAGGAGCACATCTCCTTTGCCTTGACAAACCAGTCTATGTTTTTTTCCACAATTACCTTCTGAAAAATCGGAATAAATTGTTGCTACAACTCGATGTGTTATCACGAAGGATGTTGCGTTAGCCACACAGACGAACCAAGGATGCCCACTGGATGAAGAATCTAGTTTACCATGAAGAAATGTTTCAGTGTGCTGTGTACCAATAAACTGAAAATGAAGGAGAAACTCATCGCCACTAAGATGAACTTTCCAAAGTGTACAACTCTGCCATGAAAGAGTACAAAGACTTTGCACACTCTTGGTGTTGAACATGACCTCATACTTATTTGTTCACTTTCTCAGGCACTTTCAGATTATTAACTGCGGAGGCGGATAGATCAAAGCTTTCAGATTTAGAAAAAAAAAGTTTCCCCAGTTACAATTATAACTTGAATGTTGATGTGAACGCAACAAACTACAAATATTTGTTAACAGTCCCACAAATATGGAAAACATCAAGGCTCTATACCAGGAAGTATTTGCCTTGCTCAAGAGCCCTTGAGCAAGAAATATATCACTTCAACTCCATATGAAACAGCCCATGACCTCTGACCTTCAGCCAGTATACTCATATTAAATGACCCTGCTGCCATTGTGATAAAATAATTCTCTACATAAAAGCTGATTACTTCTGTAGTGGATGTAAGTGTGAATTACCTCACCAGACGGCTGTGATTTACCAACACAGAACACATAAAACTGCACATGGGTAAACAGCCATTGCTCATATTCCTAATGAAAGGCTCTCACACACACAGTGTGGGAAAGTAGAGCGGAGCAACGAAGACACACAATGATCTGGAGGGAATTTTCTTTAAAGCCTTGTACCTGGGAAAACTTAAGAGACAATGAATGAGATGAAGGGGAAAGAGGAGGGTGAGAGAGAGAGAAGAGACCAAACACCCACATACTTCACATATTTGCAATGCCGAAGATGTCCACTTAAGCCGCAGTGTGCAACAACATAATACCAGACTACAGTAGCGGTTGCCCACAAATTATCACAATCTAAACAACGAGACTTGAAGCCGAGCCTGAAATCAAACATGAACGGACAAAAAGGGGATAACAAATAAGGTATGTGTGCATTATAGAGACACAGATACACGTGCATTCTTGGATGGTGGCTTCTCCTCTGAGATGTTGCTATTAGAGCAATGACCACACACCCAGGGCCAACTTTGTTACAGACCAAAATAGGATAAACACACCACTAAAACGTCAGCTGAGCTGTTTGGATAAAGTTCAACGGATCACACACACACCTCCAACAACCATTGAGGAAATGACAAAGCAAAAAAATGCAACTGGCCCAAACCCATAAAACATCCAAACTCTTTTCTGTGAAACATGCAGTCAGACATATTAAACCTACCTGGACCTCAGCTCTGTTGCACACAGCCCACACTATATCCTTTACTGAGATCCCTTCCACACACGGCCCTCTCTTATCCTGACACACACTGTTTCTGTCTCAGAGCCCGCGCTAACATGAGACCACCCTTTCTGTGGGCCCCTGCCTTCCCCTTCTCGGCAGGCACACTCATCGTTTGACTCATACACAAAAAGGAAAGACCCCTTTTCATTTTAAAATACCTATTGTCTGGCTCACACCGACTGAAATGAGGTGTCAGGCACAAAACAATGACCCTGCTGTCAAAGTTGTTGTGGAGCGTGTAGTGATATAAATTGTTGTCAGTGTTTTGTGAGCATTTAAATGTCAAGGGCCAAGGGAGCAACCATCGGAGCAGATTTTTGTTGCTTGGCACAGATCTGCGTGTGGCATGATAACAATAAGTGAAACTTGGAAGGATGCAAAATGAAACTTCCAGTGGAAGTTAAAGGGAGAGTGAAAGGGTTTAGTGTTTTTTTAATCTTTGTGTTTGTTTTTGAAGTCAAATGTTCATTGCTGTGGTTATCCACTGCACTCCCCAGAGAAAGAAAATGTCTTAGTTGAACAATACGATCGTTAAGCCAGTTTCAGACATGTCCGGAAAATTGGGTCTGGACATTTTCTGGAGTTTGCCTTTCACATATTAAGAATGCAGCAGCAGATTTTCCAGGTCAGACACATACACAACAACGGGAAAAATCAAACCGTACATTCAGCGGAAGGGGGGAGCATTTGGATAGCTGTAAAAATTCCATTGTAGAAAACAAGTTTTGGTTTACAACACATCGGCACCAGCTTAAATTTTTAACAACTTAAATTCTTAAATCTAATTTTCAAATTGACATATGTCCTATGTGTCTTCC